TTTCGACATTGTCTTCAGGTCTTCTCTACTTTCCTCACCTCAGTCGTGTCTTGACAATAGTTCAAGTGGGACTGATACCTTGTCATACACTTCGTCAATTGCTGAATTGTCCTCATCAGATTTTTTTTTTTAACAACAAAATAAAATATTCATTTCTTTCCTGTATAAAATTATTAAAATAATTGATATATAATTTTTCAATGTGCTAAAATGATCTGATTTTCTTTCAGACAAACAGAAAAATTATTGTTGTCTGGCGTGGGTGTCTCGAACCCGCGTTAAACCCGACTCTTAACATATATGATATAGTTCTGTACTCGTGGTACTGATGAGTCAATAGAGAAGAAAATCATGGACATTGTAGTGTGAAAACCACCTTACTTGGCAGCCAATAAAAACTCGGGGTCACCGCAGCATCAGTAGGGAGAAAAACACCTCTGTACTGGTGTCAGCACCTCCGTCAGCAATTACATCAGCTACGTCAGCAGCTACATCAGCATTACGTCAGCAACTACATCAGCAGCTAAGTCAGCACCCACCTCAGCAACTATATCAACTGCTACGTTAGCACTTACGTCAGCAATACGTCAGCACTTACGTCAGCATGGTGGTACATACACCAATAAAAATCGCCAACCCTTTAAAGGGGTTCGGTTCCTTCTGCAGACTACTGTTAAGGTGCGAGGAAGACAATTTATAAACAAGAGCTAGAGAGAGTAAGATAATTAAGGTTTTAGAGAGGAAGGGGGAAGAAGATAAGGAAGGTGGGTAGAAGATAAATAAGAAAGGAAAAGAAGTAGAAGGGGAGGGAGGGAGAGAAATAGTGTGTTGGAGGAAAAATGGAAAATAGTTTAAAATAGCGGGAAAGAATTAGAATTAGACAAGGAAGGAAGGTAAAAATGAAAGAATGGGAGAAAGAAATAGAGAAGATAAGCAGTAGTGAAGAATGAAAATTTTGAAACGAAGGAAGAATGGAGTATGTTGTATCAGTCAACCCTAACACTGCATCAGTCAACCGTTAACACTGCATCAGTCAACCATAAACATGCATCAGTCAACCATAACACTGCATCAGTCAACCGTAACACTGCATCAGTCAAAACCCTAACACTGCATCAGTCAACTGTAACACTGCATCAGTCAACCATAACACTGCATCAGTCAACCGTAACACTGCATCAGTCAACCATAACACTGCATTAGTCAACCGTAACACTGCATCAGTCAACCATAACACTGCATCAGTCAACCATAACACTGCATCAATCAACCATAAAACTGCATCAGTCAACCATAACACTGCATTAGTCAACCACAACACTGCATCAGTCAACCACAACATAGCATCAGTCAGCCACAACACTGCATCAGTCAACCATAACACTCACCAGTCAACCATAACACTGCATCAATCAACCATAACACTCCATCAGTCAACCACAACACTCCATCAGTCAACCATAACACTGCTTTAATCAAACCATAACACTCATCAGTCAACCAAACACAGCATCAGTCAACACAACACTTTATCAGTCAACCATAACATTCCATCAGTCAACCACAACACAGCATCAGTCAACCCCAACGCTGCATCAGTCAACCATAACACTCCACCAGTCAACCATAACACTCCATCAGTCAACCACAAACTGCATCAGTCAAACCATAACACTGCATCAATCAACCATAACACTGCATCAGTCAACCACAACACTGCATCTGTCAACCACCCAAAACTGCTTTAGTCAACGATAACCTGCATCAATCAACCATAACACTCCATCAGTCAACCACAAAACGCATCATCAACCACAAAACTCCATCAGTCAACCTAAACACTCCATCAGTCAGCCAAAAACACTGCATCGTCATCCACAACACTGCATCAGTCAACCACAACACTGCATCTGTCAACCATAACACTGCATTAATCACCATAATACTGCATCAATCAACCATAACACTCCATCATCAACCCAACAACTCCATCAGTCAACCAAAAATACTCCCTCAACCACAGCATGCATCAGTCAACCACGACACTGCATCAGTCAACCATAAAACTGCATCAGTCAATTATAAAAACTGCATCAGTCAACCATAACAATGAATCAACCACAACCCCTACATCAACCACAACACTGCATCAACCACAAGACTTCACAACCACAAGACTGCATCACCACAACACTACATCAACCACAACACTGCATCAACCCAATACTGCATCAACCACAACACTGCAAACAACCACAACACTGCATCAGTTAACCACGACGCTGCATCAAACCCCGGCACTGCATCAACCACGACACTGCAACAGTCAACAAAAACACTGAATCAACAACAACATTGCATCGCCACAAGCTGCATCAACCACAACGCTGCATCAACCAAAAACACTGCATTAACCACAACACTACTCAGTCAACCACAACACTGCATCAACCACAACACCCTATCAACCACAACACTGCATCAACCACAACACCGTATCAACCACAAAACTGCAGCAACCCCCAAAACTGAATCAACCACAACACCATCAACAACAACACTGCATCAGCCACAATACCGCATCAACCATAGCACTGCTCGTACATAATAAATATATATATTTATATATATATATATATTTATATATATATATATATATATATATATTATATATATATGCAAGGAATTCGCGAGAGCATGCGAAATATACACAAAACACTGATCTCTGGCTGAAGGAGACCTCGAACCTACGAACCTTAGGACAAGGTACGCAGTGCTTTACCATCTACCCACACTGGATAATACCTTGGCGTGTAACATGAGCTACACGCCAAGGTATTGTCCAGTGTGGGTAGATTTGGTTAAAGCACTGCGTACCTTGTCCTAAGGTTCGTAGGTTCGAGTCTCCTTCAGCCAGAGATCAGTGGTTATATATATAATATATATATATATATATATATAATATATATATAATATATATATATATTATAGATATATATATATATTATATATATTTATATATATATATATTATTATAGTGTGTGTGTATCACTTGCATCGCCAATGATTGTCTGTCATTTCATCACCTTGTCTTCACAATATTTTCTCATAGGGTCTATATATCTTCCTATATTTATTGTATCAAATTATCTTTATGTTCTTATAATGCAGTTTTCTGTCTGTGTAATGCTTGTAGGACCCCCACTTAACGATCACCTCCCAATGCGACCTATTATGTATGTGTATTTATGTAAGTGCGTTTGTACGTGTATGTTTGGGGGTCTGAAATGGACTAATCTACTTCACAATATTCCTTATGGGAACAAATTCGGTCAGTACTGGCACCTGAACATACGTCTGGAATGAAAAAAATATCGTTAACCGGGGGTCCACTGACTCAGATTCTCTCTCGTTGAGTCTCTCATTCTGTATCCCTGTGCTGCATGTTTCTCTAAACTGACTCTCTGTGTCTCAGTGTCATGCGTTTTTAGTTCTATATCGTGTACTACCTATGGTTGTGCAGATGCATCATGTATCACCTATTTCTGATCACATATATCATGTATCACATAGCTATGGCTGATCCTGCACATCACGTATCACCTGTGGCTGATCATATATATGACGTATCACCTATGGCTGATAATACACATGATGTATCACTGATGTCTAATCGTAAAAGTCGTGTATCACCTATGTTCATATAAATCATGTATCACCTATTGCTGATAATATATGATGTATCACCTATGGCTACTCATATATCGCTAATAAATATTCATTTATTATTAATGAGTATTCAGGTGTGGTTTACTGTAAGTTTTGTGTGTGATAAATTACGTCTGTTCAAAGCTTTAAAATAACATTATAATTATTTTTTCTAAGAAAGGTTAAGCTTGTCTGTTATTTCTCATTTGTAGATTCTTGCGTATTTTTGTATGATGATACAGTTTTATAGAAAGTAAATTTGGGAAAGGGTGGGGTTTGAACTCATTGTAAGCGAGTCCTAAAATTCACAAGCCACTGCGTTAACCACTTGGCCAGCTGTTTCTAATAAGATTCATCCAACTAGGTATATTTCTATACACCATAGGGAGGTTAGCATGGGCCACAATTGTGACCACAAACGTAGGTTTTCACAGATGAATACTACTCCAGCGTGGTTGTGACGTACCTCTAGCTCAAGTCCCCAGAAACTCCTCCCGTTCCCTGATTTGTTTGTAGCAGTGTTATTACGATTTCATGAGTCATCTCTACATAATTTCACACTCACTCATCGTTCCCACTTCAAATATATAATTATGGCTGGTTTTTTCAGGTATAATTCATTTTAACTGAGGTAGAGTGAGGAGATTGTATTTGAATACGTATTTGTGTCTGAACTGTTTGAGTACGTTTATCTATTTCTCCCAGTCAGTGGCTGTCATGCATTCGTTATGAGTTTTTGCAACTCCTGTCTCATGACAAGACTCGCTGCTAACTGCCAATTAGCGGCCCCCGTACATCATATCAAGAAGTTCTCATTTTCACTGAAATTGATATACTCCTCTCAGCCAATCAGCGACCACCTTGCATCCCTGTAAGACAGATGTTTACAATTTCTTAGCCTCTCATTGGTCGGAATAAACCCATTTTTATTAAATCGTTTCTTGCTAATGAACGTCGCATGAATACTTGTGAAATACTTCTGCATGAACTTTAATTAACACGTAGTATACTGTTTAATAAATAATGAACATGAGATCCTTTATTGCTCTTCATCCACCTCCGTTCAACCGCATCTCTGACAACCACTATCATCACTATCACCATGATCGCCATCCTTATCACTATCATAATTACCACCATTGCCACTCCCATAACAATCACCCCCAACACCTCCACATCTTGAAAGACTCCAAAGAACACGATCTTCATCACAGACACTATCACTCCCCTGTACCATCACCATCACCTCCATCACTATCACTGTTTCATATCACTGCTCACCTGTCTTACAGATGGCGTGGCAGTGTCTACAAGATGGTGTGGCAGGACATGCTCATCTACCTCCTCCTCTACTACGCAATATCATTCGTCTATAGGTTTGGCCTCACTGAAGATGAAAAGAGGTAATGTACCGAGTTACGGTGGTATTTTCTCAAAGTTGGTTGTTACGTTCCTCTAAACGCCGTGTTAGGTAAATGCGTGTTAGATAAACTGAAGAACTTATTTGAAAAATAGGGTTACGTTCCTTAGAACCTCAAAAAAACCAAACAACTTTTTTTTTAGACCTCCAGATCTTACAAAAATAAAAGTGAATATGTAATTGTAGTTCATTGTCGTGCTGTATTATGCTTTTTTTTTTTTTTTTTTTTTTGCTTAAGACTACAAATGCAACAGAAATAATAGTATTTCTTACCTGCTGGTGTTTGTGGATGATTGTGAAGAGAGTGGAGACTTATACTGTGGTCCTACTGGGCTAAGGTGGATGGTAGAGGTTCTGGTACTGAAGTTGATGGTTGTACTGGAGTATGCATAAATTCTGTAATGGATTTTTGAGTAATTTTACCCTGCAATACATTATACAGCCGACGGTAAGGTATCAACTGTTCTAGACACCATTTCACAGTAGTGCTTCTAGATTTGTCAGGGTCCTCATCAGTGAAAAAGTCTAACTTTAAACCAGTAAGTCTCTCAGTAAATCAGTCAAGTCAGTCAGTTATTCATCACACAAACTCGTATATTTATTTTGTTCTCCTTAATTGTACAAACTGACGCTTCATTAAGGCCACAGGCTATCTCTTGTCTAATATTTCTATTTTCTTCGTTAATTCTAAGACTTAAACGCTTATACCTTTTATTGCCACTTCCAGCAACGCTCCTGTGCCTACTGGGTGCTATGATTGCTTGGTAGATACAAGATATGGCAATTAAAAGATCAGAATGGAACTGGACAAGTATTCACGAAGGCTGGGACGGGAGTGGTGGTAGTGTCTGGGGTGGCAGGGGATGGCGGTAGGTCTCTCCCCGCTGACCCACAACAAGGCGGCGGCTTGAGTTGGGAAATTTTTTTCCGCACCCGCAAACGGAACCGTGTTAAGTTAATTTTACGAAGTGTATAAAATTGTGCCGAAATTTTTCATTAGGGCAGTAACCAAAATGTAGCAAATAAATCTGTGCACTTCAAATGATAACCCTATACTGCACGAATATGACAGTGTCCTGAGGCAGATTTTTACGAAAGTACTTAACCTTACTCTAGAAGACGGACAGTGGAACCAAGCTACACTTCCAGTCAGACTAGGAGGCATTGTTGTCCGCATGTTATCACAGATTGCGCTACCTGCTTTTCTGTCCTCATGTGTTGCATCCAGAGGGCTTGTAGCAGCGATTCTCCCTGAACATATTAGGGACAAGATTGGAGTTCTGGACTAAAAGTTCAGTGACAAACACGTAACAATATGTACTAGACATGTATCTCTCACACCTCATGTACTGTTTGTGCCATCTTTGTATCAGCAATGTTTCTTTCAAATCTTCTGTATTGTATTGTGCAATAAAATATACCTCTTGGTAAAAAAGAATGAAAAGATGGGGTGGTAGGGGAAGTGGAATATTCAAACGGCTTCAGGAAGAAATCCAAATATTCTTCCTTGAAGCCTTTTTATCCACTTCTCCGAGGCTAAAACTTACAGATGCCTCAAAAGCTGGGCAGCCTGGTTTACAAGTCATGTTTCTTGCCTGCCCCGACACACCAGTGAGCCTCGAGCGTGATTATAAATTATTTCATTTCTCTCCTGTATGTTCTGACTTCACAAGTGTTTTTATATTCAATGAACC